GGCTGGAGGGAAGGACCGGCCCCGCCGGGTCCCCCAGGAGGCCTGGGCCTTGGCCGCGGCAGGCCGGTCACCCGCGACGGGACGGCCTCGGAGCGCATCCCGGCCCCTCCTGTCGCAGGGCTCAGAGCTTCCCAGCCCTCCCCTTTCACAGCCCAGGGGCTGTGACACCCTGGACCTCCTCGCTGGAGCCTCTGAGGAAGTCCCTTAACCTCTCTGGGCTTCAGTCACCTCACCAAGAAATTGGGGAAAATAAAGCACCTACCTGCCAGAGTTATTGGGAAGACTGGACGAGCTGATGTGTGGGAAATACTTTTAAAACTTTAAAGTACTGGAAAAATATAAAATTTCCTCCAATTTTTCAACTCCACGAGATGCCATCTGAGGGGCTGGGCTAGCAACAGCTGGCGTTTCCGAGGCCTGGCTGTGCCTAGATGCAGCTGCTGCTTTAATCCTACCCACGCGTCACCCTTAGGAGCAGGTCCTGTTATTACCCCCTGTAGCACTGTCACATGGATGTGTGATAATTTGATTAATAGCTCTCTCTCGCTCCCCACAGATGTACTATTGTTTCTCACTTGCTGCTGAACCTGGCACATAGGAGATACTTGCTAAATATTTGCTGAATCCTTCTCAGCACACAGGAGGAAGCAGCCTCAGAGAGGCCCAGGACCTTGCCCAGTGTGCTGGGCAGCTTTTAGGTGGCAGAACTGAGATTTGAACCCAGGCCCACCCGACTAGAGCTGAGGCCATCAATCCTGGGGTCAGGTTCCCCTTTCCTCTCCCTGGCTGGGCTGGAGCTGTGCCGTGACAACTCTGCTTGTCTGCATCTCCAGGGCTCCCAGGGTCTCATCCTGGGTTGATGCCCATGCCCACTTACCCTTTCTCCCAGGAGTGCTTATGTGTACACAGGTGCCCTATGGGATCCCAGGAAACAAGCCCCTAACCTACCCACACAGTCCTATCCACAATCCTCCTGAGAGAGACAAGGGGAGGTAGGAAGAGGGTCCCTTGAGTTGGTCTTAGACTGGTAACGTGGGCCGCTGATCACTTCGAACCAAGCCAAGCCACTCCCTGTTCACTCTCCTCTGCCGTCTCTGCTGTCCAGAGGTTTAGGTGCTGGGGCCTCAGGATAGGAAAGAAGAGAAAATAGGAAAAAGAAGCCAGAGCTGGGAACCGAGCGAGCCCCTGTTAGAGGGGGTGGGATACTGGCACTGGGAGGATACTTGTCCCTCATCAGCTTCCCAGAGGGGGAAGAACTTTCATCACTGGTAGAAATGACAGAAGGGCCAGAAGTATGGGAAGCTAGCTAAGAAAACTGAGGTGGAAGTTAGGCTTCTTTTTGTTCCCCAACATTTTCAACAAGGTACGAAAAAAGACAAAGACAAACTATGAGCACTTTCATGCCATTTCCGCCAGGAGGTGTTCGGTCTGCCAGCTCACATGCACAGTTTGTGTGCACGCTAACCTCAGGATGGCTTGATCGCAAGAGTACACTGTTGTTGGGGAGCCTCCCTCCGTCTCTGGGCCTCAGTTTCCCCATGTGTAGAAGTATGGAATTGGAGAGCTGGTGTCAGTGTCCTTTCCCAATATGTAGCCCAGACATCCACTTCTCCTCTCCCTAACTCTCTCTTCTGTTGAGAACCCCTGGCCTTGAACCTGAGGCCCCTTCCAGTTTCAAATATTCTTTTCTCGGCCCGTAGTACCTCCCTTTAGTCAGATCTGGGTCCTTGCCATGTGCTCTGTCCCAGGTCCACCCCCACCCCCACTCGAGACTTCCTAAATTCTTCAGCCCAAAGATCAGAGCTACTTCTCTCTCCCTCTGACACGCAAAGCTCATCACCCCAAGCTGAGTGCAGGGGAGTTGTGTTTGCAGAGGTGCCTGAGGACCCCTTGGAGAGCCCGGGCCTTCTCTGACTCCAAGAAGAAGCTCTCTGACCTTGGGCAAGTTTCTTAAGTTCTCTGAGCTTCAGTTTCCTCATTTGCAAAATGAGAATAGCTACATGCACTGTGATCAGAAGGCTGCTGAGAAGGTCAAGATGGGCAAGGCATGTCTAATGCCTGGCACAGTGCCTAGCACATTGCTGAGACTCTGAAAAAACCATCAGCAGAGGTTCTTCTGGAGATGATGCTGGAGAGATGATTCACGGTGGAGGTAAGAGATGAAGCTCCTCAAGGTACCACACCTCCAGAGATGTGTGAAAGAGATGCCCTTTCAATGTCTGGCCTTTTAACTATTTTCCCTTCCCTACTACTTTTCTATGTCTCAGCCTTCCAGGGGGCCATGAGTGCAGGCAGTAACTAGCATTGATCAGAATCACACATCGGTCCTCTTGGCCCTGCTTCTCCCTTGGGGACAGCAGGACCTCTTCCAGGAATGCAGAGGGAGGAGGCTGCGCTCAGCTGGCTGCCCCACCGCCTGCACAGCCCTCTGAGCCAGCAGGGCCATGATGGAACAGTCGGCAGTGCCCAGAGAAATACAAACAGGATGTGTGTGTGACTGTGGTTTCCACCATGAGCTTTAACACCACCCAAACTAAGTTATTTCATAAATAGCTGTCACTTTTGGCAGACCTTCCTAAGGACAGCAGACAGCTTTATCGGAGCTACAAGGAAGTTCAGACAGACTCCGGGGAAAATGCCTTTTTGGAGTTCTGTATCTCTACTCCCCAATTCTTGCAGCCATTTTACATAAATTTCTATCCAAGACCAGATAGAAAACCATGTGCCATGTATTCAAATAACACTTTGCGATCAACAAGGTATTTCTTTCCCCC